TCCGATTTCAGAAAAGTGGGAAATACTGTAAAATACTCATCAATATTGACACTTTTTCTGAAACCCGATGGTCACCACCTTTGTCTCGTTTTCTGAAAACCGATATCCGCCATCTTGAATTCCAAAATGGTGTCGAATATCGATCTTCGACATCTACGCGTCGTTCACGTTCTGAAAATACCCATTTGAGACTTTTCCTGAGCCAGATGGCCACCATCTTAGATTCCAAAATAGCATCGGACATAGATTTTCGGCACCTTCGCGTCGACCCCGTTCCAAAAATACCCATATTTTAAGGTATTTGAGATTAATGGCCACCATCTTGGACTTCAGAATGGCCTCGTTAATTTAATTTTCGTTTAATATAAAATAACAATTTATTACTACATATAACCCGGATGCCATCCCTATAGGCAACCGATATTGGGCGGATACCATCCGGATACTATATGTTGATGCCTGACGACGTGACGCGCGACAGGTCGAATGAGCCCCAAATTGAAGTGAAAGTGGAAGAAACAAGTCTTTGCTCCAAATGAAATGAACTGATGATCTTGACGAACGAAACAAGCGATAGCCAAGTCATGTTTGACAGGACCCAAGCAACACACATCTATCATAATAAGTTTCTGCAACTTGAATGTGACTGAAATAAGTTACCTACAAGTAACCACAACTGTTTGGTGACAAGTGTGCTGCTAGGGGAGGCATGTTCATCATGACTCGATAGCAAGAAATACAGTGACTTACACGAAAATGATATTGCTCGAAATTTAGCGATTCTGCGGAAAGTTCATTTTCATTTCTTTGTTTCGAAAATGCAGAACACTGGTGCTGATAGGTATTTACTTTCAAGCAAGCTTTTATTGATTATTGAGTTGCAAATATGATAAATTCTAGGATAGCTCAGATGACAAGGCAAGCGGCTGGTGATTGGAAGGTACATGTTTCAAATCCCATGCAACTACATGTATATAAGTATTTAATAAATTTTCTAATATCTGTGTGGTGCGAGCCACGTCAGAAATAATGAATACAATCTCTAATACTTAAGAAAACACACTCTTTTCCTGTCCCCGTCCCTCTTATTTTCGGGTTAATTTTCCCACAGTTTGAATAATCGTTTAATAAATGTATAATAATGTCTAATTAAACGTTACTTCACATGAAAATCAAGCGTATACACAGCGACAGCATCACTGTTTTAAGGAAGCAGTGATGTCTAATAAACGCTGAATAATCAAATTTTATCGTATAAACTCTGTTACGACTCATATACATATACCTTATACAACACCAAGTAGTTCAATGTTGTGGTTGAATAAATTCTCCAGATTTGTGTGAACAAAGCCTGAACAGAAGTAAGTACAAGTACTATTAAGCATGCAGTTGAATAAAGGGGCCAAGAAGTCGTTTCTTCAATAGACGATTGTTTGTTGGGAGGTCATATAAGTGCCGGCGCCGGTGGTGTAGTGGTAAGCGTGACTGCTTTCTAACACCCCGATGGGTCTGGGTTCAATCCCAGCCGAGGTCGCACAGTGGCACGAATATGAATAAAGACGGTCAAAAATATTTTCTACCCTTTTTCGACGTTTTAGAGACTGGGTGCCTTGGGAGAAGTTGCTCAAAATTATAACTCGCATCTTTTGAAATACACACCTGAATAATATTTAAGCTAGTATTACACATCCAAATTCTAACTTTTTCCAGTTACGAGATATTGGTTCCATGTCTTGGACAAAGTTGCAGAGCAGTTGATTTCATGAACATTTGCTAAAGACACGAAATTTCTACATCATAACTCTGTAGAGCTATAATAGATTTTCTTTTAAGACTACCTTAATATTGGGTTTTTAAGTTAATTAGTGCTTTTTTCAAATTTGATCAATTTATCATGTTCTAAGAAATTGTTGGCATCATTAAAATATACAACTTTGCTGAATACACCAATGCTTTTCATTGACATCAATGTGATATACAGCCCATCAAGCGTTTTTGTGATGTCATATTCAACGGCTCGAAAAGAGGGTGGGCGGGCCCTGGCGGGGTCTAAAACTGGTTGTATTTTGAAGATTACCTTATAAAATAGTACTTCTGAAAATTTCAGCGTTGGGTACTGAGGGGTACCTAGCCAAATCTCGATTCGAAAATGTCAATATTATATACAACCCATCGGACGGTTTTGTGACGCCATATTGAACGGCTCGAAAAGATGGTAGGCGGCCCCTGGCAGGGTTTAAAACCGATTGAATTTCGAAGATTACATTATAAAATAGTACTCCTGAAATATTCCGCGTTGGGTATTGAGCTATGAATCAATGATTTTAACCTACACATGTTTGAACTTGCAAATTATTTAAATTATTAAGCTTAATCTGGAGATGTATTTAATGGGTTTGTTCTTAATGTGTTTGTTCTTCAGTGTACCTACATTGATATGTACATTCATTGCAATATTGATACTCATATGTTGATAGTTGCAAATATTATAATGCAAGCTAATAATATTGGTATATTCTTTGCCCTTTATTATATACAATATGGACTAAAATATCGGTATAACTTTCAAGAAAACTAGAATAAATGATAAAATTCTGACTACGGTTCTAAAGGGTTCCAACTTTGGACCTACCCACACCACCCTCTTTTCAGAACATGGAACGTGACTTCACAACAGATGTTTGAAACTTCCTCGTGCACATCGCTGAACGCTGCTGCAGATGACTATTTTGGGCTTGACGTTTTGGCGATAGCAAAGAGCGATAGAGTTTATTTAATTATCTAGGTGTGATTTTTTTCACGAACAACTTTTTTTTTTTTGCTTTATTATAGAGACTTTCAGCCTGTAGCTGGTTCGTCTCTTTACGAACAACTTGTATTGAAGTTGTGGTTCAAAATGAATTCATTCAATCTTTGTCGGATGGAATTGTTCAAAGTGTGGGCGGAGCAGATTCATGGAAATCGTCATGTCAAATATTATCGAAGATAGTCAGGTAAGGAGTAATTAAAACATATTTTTTTTTCAATATTGGCATACTCAAAATATCAAAATTCAGAATATGCAGTTGATGTACAAACCCATTGATAACATTTCAAGATAATGCAATTTTTATATAGTTGTAAATTGTATCATGAGTAAGTAGCACACTCGTAGCACACATTGGTTTATAACTTGTACTAAATATATATAAACGAGATTTGACTAGGTACCCCTCGGTACCCAACGCTCAAATTTTTAGGAGTACTATTTTATAAGGTGACCTTCCAAATACAATCAGTTTTCGACTAGATCAGGGCCCGCCTACCCTATTTTCGAGCCATTGAATATGACGTCACAAAAACGCATGATGATAACATATAACATTGACTATTTCGACTCGAAATTTGACTAGATACCCCTGGAAACCCAGCACTGAACTTTTCAGGAGTACTATTTTATAATGTAATCTTCGAAATTCAATCGGTTTTAAACCCAGCCAGGGGCCGCCTACCATCTTTTCGGGCCGTTCAATATGGCGTCACAAAACCGTCCGATGGGCTGTATATAATATTGACATTTTCGAATCGAGATTTGGCTAGGTACCCCTCAGTACCCAACGCTGAAATTTTCAGAAGTACTATTTTATAAGGTAATCTTCAAAATACAACCAGTTTTAGACCCCGCCAGGGCCCGCCCACCCTCTTTTCGAGCCGTTGAATATGACGTCACAAAAACGCTTGATGGGCTGTATATCACATTGATGTCAATGAAGAGCATTGGTGTATTCAGCAAAGTTGTATATTTTAATGATGCCAACAATTTCTTAGAACATGATAAATTGATCAAATTTGAAAAAAGCACTAATTAACTTAAAAAACCAATATTAAGGTAGTCTTAAAAGAAAATCTATTATAGCTCTACAGAGTTATGATGTAGAAATTTCGTGTCTTTAGCAAATGTTCATGAAATCAACTGCTCTGCAACTTTGTCCAAGACATGAAACCATTATCTCGTAACTGGAAAAAGCTAGAATTTGGATGTGTAATACTAGCTTAAATATTATTCAGGTGTGTATTTCAAAAGATGCGAGTTATAATTTTGAGCAACTTCTCCCAAGGCACCCAGTCTCTAAAACGTCGAAAAAGGGTAGAAAATATTTTTGACCGTCTTTATTCATATTCGTGCCACTGTGGGTCGGTGGGATTTTTCTGAGGCATAAAAATCTCTGGTCACGTATTCCTTCGGAAGGAAAGCAAAGCCGTTGGTCCCGGCCCATGTGTGTGTTTGAATGGGTGCGATATCCTACGCAGGTGTGGCAGCTGCCTTCTTGCATATTCGATTGCCGTCAATGGATGGCAATCGATGTCCGTCGGTGATTGGCACTAGATTGCGGTGAGAGATGAACTAGCCTAAGGCTAAGGCTAAAAATATCTTTAATAAAGCTTTAAAAAAAAAACTAGATTGCGGAACAGAGACCGACGTTAAATAAAGGAAAGAAGAAAAGGTCATATAAGAATGCATAAAAGGTATGTGTGACTGCTTATACATTTCATTTGAAACATGATCTTCATTAACTTTTTGCAAGGCGTCTGCTTATTAGTTGACTTATACATTTTATGAATAATCATCAATAGCAACTTGCCAAAAGGTATAAGGAGATTTCTATCCGTGCAGGGTTTTAAAAAGAATTATTGTCTTGTTAAAATTGTGGAATTTTATAAGATTTTCGATAGTGTGGTCATCTTGCCCCACTTTCCCTATAATAGGTACTCTACTTAGGAGTAGAATTAATTATTTGGCAGAGTTCAAACTCGATATAATTACCGGAGCTGCCAGTCAATACTACGACGAAGGGTTAACATACCAAATACAACACTACAGCCACAACTAGTCCCGTTCACCATTACTCAACGCGATCATGACAGCATGATGAAAACAACATTTGAATTCAACACAACACGTTTAAATGGACAAAATCACAAACAATCAAAAAACACACTAAAAGCAATATTCAACTTACCACCATACGTGCTGGACAGACCACCGGTGATGGAATTTTTTGCTTCCAACGAATTTCTCGAGACAGCATCGGCAAAGGTCAACGCCGTTGGACTAGCTTTAATCGGCGTCTGTATAGTTTCATTTAGATTGGTGTATCCTAATTTACCTTTGACAGACTTGCCGGTGCTCCTGAGTTTCTGAGCAAAACTATGCGGCCGGTTGCGAGCACTTGGCGACGGCGTAAGCGGAATCAACGGCCCAAGGCTTGGCATCTTCGACCTACTCACCGAATGTCGCAGCTCGTGGCGGAACGGGATGTCTTCGTTGAACTTATCGTAGCGTTCATCCGCGTAGTCAAAGATTGTATTATCAATGTGCGACATCAACGGTTCGTTCAACGAACCCATTAAGGTTGGATCATTCATCTCCGAGGCTGCAATGAAAAAGTTAATTTGGATTCAAGAAAGAATTCAACTGACATACCCAGACTAGATTCGTCCTTCAAGGGAACACTTCGTTTACCATGTTCCGGATGATCGCGCATCTCGTTTTGGGCATCCTTCACATTCTGATACATATTGGTGATTTGGTGTAATAAACGGAGTAGCGGCATGTTTACTTGCTGTGATAGGTAACGTACATTCAAGCTGAAATTAATTACAGTACTGGTGTGTTTTTTCAGCTGTCCTCTTGATACATAGAGCATGTACTGCTTTGCATCATCAGGAAATCTGTCCGTCATTTTCAGCAGCTCCAATTCGACTCCGACATTTTCGCAAAGGAAGGCAGGCTGTTCTGTTGGCATTATCAGTGTAAATTTGCCATTTCCCTTCTTACCCACTTTGGTTTTCTGCTTCTTGGAATCACCCGCTTCGCTTACCACTATATCGATTCGCATTGTATCGAACGAGCATACTAACGACAGATTAGTACCGAGGCTGTCCAACGACGAAACATCCGTATTTGAAACGTTGTTGATCATCTGTTGCGGCATAACACCCAGGCAAGTTAGCATCGGCTCGAAGATGAGATGCGCATCGAGGATGCGATTGTTTTCGTTCATGAACTTGATTGAATGAATCTCTGGGCGATTTTTCGATGTTTGACGGGAAGTCTGCAATTGAGGATGATTGGTAAAAATTTAATCTTCAATTATATCATGATCGGGGGAAAATTGATCATTACACCTTGCGTTTTTGGCTGCAAAATCCGAAATAAAAAAAAATCTTGAAAGCATTTAACCGGAAGACAGCCAACGACTTTTTTGATGGGGATTGAAGAAAATCTTGTGCGGGATTTAAATTCGATACATTTCATGGTGTACGAATTTCGGTCCTGAACGGTAACTATGTGGAGCATGTTTATATAGTCAAGTTTAGAGAAAGTAAAATAAAAACTTTTGCAATTTTGGTTATTGTCGAAAAACTTGAGCAGAAAAGAGTTGCATGTTTTCGGCAATATTGTTCACTGGACTGAACCCTTGATGATGAGCGTGCAGAGAAAAGCTAGTTTGATTGATTATAATAATACATCTTGCCTCTGGTCAGATTTAGAAACTACATTTTGACCGCTTAGTTTTTGAAGGGACGGTTTCTTTTGCTTTCGGGTCCCAGGGCGTTGAGAAGAGGAGCGTTTCCGGTTATGGGAACCCTATCGAACAAATAGACGTAATTTACCTTGATTACGATACACTGAAGAGAAATGATAAATGGTGAATTAGCATCTATGCCACACAGTTGGGTAGCTCAAACCAGCAGTGAAGCAAGCCACTGACTAAATTTCGTAACTTCCTTTTTTATTAACTAAAGCAACCAGTTCGATTTGGTTTGCTAATCTGGTTAAGATGTTTAAACTTAATTATCATCGTCCAGCTCAAATCGTTGTAGGGGTAAAGGCCGGCGCACAATAGATACGTTTTCGGGTTTTTTGACAGATAATGCATGAGCTAACTGTCAAAAAACCTGAAAACGTATCTATTGTGCGCCGGCCTTAAGAGATGGGACCATCATCAACAACAAAAACGAGCAACTAAAAAAAGTAGGGGAACTAGGGGCAAGAAGGTCACCCGGGGCAAGAGTGAAAATGAAATCATTTCAATTTTATCTCACGATGAACCTATGCACGGTATTCCAATGAAGCATTCTAAAAAGTTCTGTCCGAATCGAAGTCGTAAAAAAAAATGCAAAAAATCATTTTGTGTTGATGCATTGAAAAGCTAGTTTTTTATAAAAATAAGGCATCATAAAATAAGGTTTTCGGGATTTCCAATTTATTTTTTTCACAATTTCTGCATTGAGACATCACTATTGATGGTTGTTTGATACAATAATAACAATAAATTATTAAATATTTTGTTTAATTAATTTTTTTTTTTTCCTTGGATTTGTTTTCCGTCGATCTTGTTTTCCGTGCTGAGCACCAATGCTACCGACGCCAGGAAGGCAGCTCCCACACCTGGACCCTATCTATCGACCCATCAACTCATGAACCGGGGACCAACGGCTTTACTTCCCTTCCGAAGGAAGGCGTGATCAGAGATGTTATGCCTCAGAACATCCCGGCGGCGCCGACTGGGATTGAACTCAGGCCTGCTGGGGTGAGAGGTAATCACGCTTACCACTACACCACCGGCGCCGCTTTTGTTTAATTAATCAAAAATTATATTCCTAAAAATAAACTTTATACGGGGCAAGAGTGCCACCCCTACATTTATGTATTAAATTGTACAAAAATGTTCAGAAATTAACACAATTGGGCATTTATGTTTCCAATATACATTGTTTTCGTGAAATTTTGGAAAACAAACTGTATTAAATAGTATCAAAAAAAGTTTCCATTTGAATCTTGTACGCACATGGTTTATATGTTTTAGATATAAAAAAATATATCATTAAGTCAATATTTTAGTGGAATAAACAATAAAAGCAGTTGCTGTCATACCTAAGAATAGTAATTTGTTGTTTAGGAATGAACATTTATCAGTTTCACTTCATTTTAGACATATGGTCTTTTTGCCCCATAAGAGTGGCCCTCTTGCCATTTTGAAAAAAGCCATTAACATTTTTTGATGGGGTTTAATTTTAATTTCAATGATGATACATGGAGACAAGGTTATAAACTTACAATTCGATTCACAAACTCCTATAAATATTCACGGAATCACATATAAAAACGCGCTATCGTTAGGGTGACCTTCTTGCCCCTAGTTCCCCTAACCATGTACTTAGAGTAGTTATTAAAATTCAAATACATTTGTTTGATGTTGGTTTCTTTTCGATCTTTTCGAAAAATAGTACAGTAATCAAATTGCCCCCGGTCTACCATTAATGTTCATCAAATGATGCACAAGTTACTAATGGGTTTGCTAGTGTTCTACAACTGATAGCAGTGTCAGTTTCTTTTGTAAGAAATCAGTATACTATAATAGAGATCCATTTGTATTTTAACTTTCTAAACCCCAACTTTCATACATACATACCTCTAGCTTATCCTTATCACGATGGTTCTTTGAATTGCCATTCTGTTGTTTGGCCATCCAAGAGTAGAGATCTTCCTTCTGATTTGGCGGTGGAGTCCACGGCTTATCCATCGAATCGGAAGAACTGCATACCGAGGGCAGCGACCCTTCCTTCAAGGCACCATACTCAATCTGGGGATCATGTTTGTCAAAAATGATCGGAAACATTTGCATGCTAGATCGCGAGGATGGCGCTGCTGGAGGAATAAAACTCTTTACCGATGACTTTTTCCGAAGTTTGTTGGAGTTGTTAGTACTGGGAGAGGTGTTAAGGGAGTCTCCTAGCTTGGTTACGTGGATCTGTACCGGTTCCTCGGGTATTTTGATAACTGTTAAATACGAACAAGGAATGCAAATCAAGATGTCTTATAAATGGAATAACTATTACTGAAAATAATTTCTGATAAACCAAAACCAACAAATATTCGAAAGCCACAAAATATAAAACAAACAAAAAACAAACATTGATACAAAAAGTGAGTGCCGACACAGATCAGAGAGATAGAGATACGGGATGTGCAGATCGATCAGTAGTATTCTGATAGTAAAATTCATTACCATGATGCTGCTGGGAACCGGCTGCCATTGGATGGGGATGAGTTTGCACACTTTGACCCAGCAGCATTGTGCGCTCGTTCTCTTCATCCATCAAAGGATGATTTTCGATGATACCCACCGGATAGTTTTCAGCATCTATGTCATCCGTATCTTCCGCATCCTGAGTGGGGAAATAGAAAAGCAAAGTGGTATTCGGCGCAGATGAGTGGTTGCGAATGATGCGATGGGAATTGATTGGAACATGACATGGCTTTTGTTAGGTTAAACATAAGTTTACGATGAAATTTGTGACCAGTGGTGAGGTGTAGAAATTGTTGTTGAACAGCTTCGGTGGAATACAAAAAGGGCCAATAATATAGGGTGATGAAGATAACATTTACATCAACTTTCTTGACAATTGTACTGCACGAGAGAGCCTATGACGGATCTTCAATAAAAACCGCAAAACATCAAATTGGCTCGCTTAGATCTATTAACAGGTGCCTCATCCCCAAAGCCAATCCTTTCCAAAATCGCACTTCTTACTTTCTTCTAAATATCAATAAGCTACGACTTATATAAAGGTAGCGTGTCTTATGTCGTTTTCGCAATAATTCAGGATGCAGATATTATAGATCTATCAAAAATCAGAACCAATTCAATATATTGTAGACTAACAATTGAAAAGGTACTATCAACATTTATAAACAAAACTTTGATAGTTCTTTCGTTCTTCGTTGACCTCATAATTAAAACTTGTTTTCGTCCGTCTTAAGTGACACTTGCTCACAATGCTTCAGCTCGAGGTAAGTTCTCTATCTATTAATTATATGTTGTTTAGTAAGTGCTTTATTCACGGCTACAGGATTCCACCGTAACGCGCCCTATGGTAAATGGGATTCCTAAATGCCACAACAGAAGCACACCACATCAGGAAACACGATCCAAAACCCACAGTTATGATCGTAACATTCACTCTATTCGAAAATAAAGCAATATGAAAGAGCGCTACTTCATCGTAATCGCCCATTTCCGTTCTATCGAGCAGAAAACATCCATACTAATCAACTGTCCTGAAATCAATAATACGTTTGTTTCGATTCGTTAGCGCATAAGCTACAAAACAAAGCCTAAACAAGCGTTGTATGAATATTTACAATAATTGTGCTCAAAACAATAGAAGCGCTCCTAGGAAATACATTTTTTCTGCGTTCATTCGTTGAACGGAGAAAAATCTAAAAAAAAAAACCAATGGCGTTTCAATTCAATGCGTTAAGACGGTTTTGAAACTCTTTGAACAAATTTGGAATTAAGAAGCAGTGTTAGATTTCTAGCAATATCTCAACAATATTGAGATATTCTAGCAATATCTCAATAAATTGTTAAGTCATCTATAATAGAATCAGTCCATTTATGGGTTCATATCCGTTCGAAAAAGAGTGGTTAAGTGCGGGTTGTGCTTAGTAGGACGGAAATAAGATCAAGATTATTTATGATACCAATGGCAATATAGGTATTTTTGAATGAATAATAACGAAAGTGCACTTTTTGTCGTTTCTTTAAATTATTTGATATAAAGTTTTTTAGATGATTGTTTCTAGCTTTGTCTATAAAAGAGTTAATTTCAGTCAATCCCGCTAGTATCACACTTGATGTCAGTGCTTTTATATAAACGTACTACGACGTGGCAAATAAATAAAAGAGCAGAATGTGTCAAAACCTTGGTCTGAGTCGTCGTTAGTCGTCTTCATCTATGTGATTCCTAATCTTTTATTCGTTGTTCCCTAGTTCCTGACTACTTCAAACTAGGGGAACAGAATTTTTCAGTAATCCAAGGAACACATCTTAGTCCTTGTTACTTTTTATGCCTAGCCTTGTTGATAGTGACAAGACTCGGCTTTGTCTACCGAGGATGATCTTGAAACAAGGAAAAAAAAATGAGTTGGTTGTCTTCATCTATGTGATTGATTCCTAATCTTCTATTCGTTGTTCCCTAGTTTAAAGTGGTTAAGACTAGGGTTCTGATGCATGGTCATTATCGGTGTCATTCCTTAATTTTGTTGCTCAGGAATCCAATTTTGACTGACAAAGGGGCGCGCCTTTGGAGGGTGTTTCAACACTCCGAAGGGTATAAATAGCGGGACCTTTCAATTAGAGTCGGATCCTTGCGATAAATGCAAGAGTGGCAACTGTAAAAAAATCGAATACTTCATCATTTCTCAATAGTGATGGAGTAATACGACATGCACTAAACTAAGGACACGGGATATACTACAATAGATCAATTTACTGGTCGCAGTAGTGGTAGGTCCCGAACAGAGGAAAAAAAAACCTTGGTCTCCTCATTTACAGCATGAGATTATACCCTTCTACCTGCATTATCATTTGAGCTAAAATTCAGCCATTTTGAATCTTGCAAAAAACCTCAAAATGGCGTATTTGATATTTTTCAACAAATCATAACTCGAAAACCTCAATTCCAATCGAAATAACGTTTGAGACAAAACTGTAGGACAAATAAAATCATTTTAGGAAAAAAATATACATGGTAATTTTTTTTAAAGAAATTTTGGGTAAAAAATCCAAAAAGGTGTATAAAACTTAAATAACAAAAAAGGCAAAATTCTATCTTCTGTGAAATTTTTAAGTTAAATATCCACCTACCCTCTTCTAAAGATCATTCTCTAGCTAATAAATCATCACACTAAAGCTTTATGTTAGCATTTCCAACCAACTCTGAAAATCGTTAACTTCGCGTATGAAGTAACATAAAAAACACTTTGAAAATATTTATTGTTAGTCGGGAGACAACGATTTTTTTTATTGAATTCAATACATAATATTGTTGAGATTACAATATATTTCTCTGCATAGGAAATCAAGCAAAGATGGGACTGATATGCGATTATGGGCAGTATAGTTCCCGTGTAGAAAATACCTAAGAATAGATCATAAGAACCCCCATAAGCCTTATGAGCAGTTCCACGCCAACTGACGAATCATAAAAATTTTACCTTCTCAGATTGGCATAAAACTTTGCATAAGGGTGTGTTATGACCAATCATTCACATTTTTACAAAAAATCGTCCTTTTTAGATGTGACTTATTACAAAATGCTAAAGCAACCATAGGCACGTTATTTAGCCTTTTTGGCTATATGCGGGTCTCATCAGAACTTACAAACACTGATATAGTCGTTGTTCAGCTGTATGTAGCCTAAAAGGCGAAATAACGTGCCTATGGTTACTTGGGTGGCGTCTTTGCTATTTGTCAATAAATTGTAGCACGAAAATGTCACTTCTGATCGAAATAACATTGTATTTATTTAGTAATTTCGACTAAAAATTCCAAAAAAGTGTTAAAATCTGTAATATCTAATTTGTTTTAAAAGCTCATAAAAAATTTAAACTTTTGGAATATGGATACTTAAAATTGACAAAAATCGTTGAATAAAAACTTTTGGACGAATATTTGAACTTATTGCTAGTACTCTTTTTTATGTAATTTCTACACAGGGAACAATATTTGAGACATTCTAAACCGTTATCTGCGTAAAAATTACATAAAAGAGCTAAAAGTTTGAAAATATGAACCAAAGTTGATGTTCTACGGTTCTTGTACATTTTCAAGTATGCATAGTTTTAAATGTTTTTTGCATGAGCTTTATTTAAAAAATAATAATAAATATTTAAGATACTTCAGTTTTTGACACTTTTTTTAATTACTCAAAATTATTAAAACAAATTACCGTGTACATTTTTCCCAGAATTACTTTTGTTTTCTAAACAACTTTGCCTATACGTCATTTCGATCGGAAATGACAATTTTTTTGTAAAAATGTGAATAATTGTGTATAACACATACTTATGCAAAGTTGCATGCATATCGGAGAAGGCTAGTCTTAAATTTTTATTTGTTCATCCTATTTGGCCTGCAACTGGTCTTGTAGTAGCTGTCCAAGAAATAACCAAACCATTTGTGTCTTTAAGTATCGAAACAATGCAGCAAAATTTAAATTAATGATGATCTAAAAACTTGTAACTATGCGGCAATTTATGGCCCACATAGAGAATGGCAAAATGAGAAATAGTTATGTTGCAGTTGTTGTTGTTATTGTCAGCGTGAAAACGTAAGGGTTAATGCGCGTCTGTACTGATCTGTTTTTTTTTGGGTTATTCACAACAAAGCCTCTCCGATCCAAGTACAAACAAATAGCGCGGACACGGTCAAGTGGCACTAGACACTGCGAACTTTCGTTTCAACTACTTGCATGTGTCTGAACTTACCCCAAATCGGTTTGTATCTCTGAAAGAGGAGAGCTTTTAGTGGTATTGAATGGCGGGTTCGAAGACAATGGGTTATGCTGATAGAGGGTATGATATGACTCTGTTCTACGATGATGTGTAAATGATCGATCAGTTGTAAATTAGAATAATGATGATTGGGACTTACCTCATCTTGTGGCAAAGCAAAAGTTACACTGATGGGATTGTTTAGTTTGCCTTTGTATTGGTGCTCGAACAACATCGGATTGTAGAGTACATTCTTCCATTGCCGGCTGAGTACGATTACAGCCTGAAATGCAACAGTAGATGTATTGTTTGAATACCTGCAATGAGGATATTAAACTTACTTGTCTTAGAGTACCCAATTGTGGAACATACTGTTGCTTGAGATCATTTTCGATTTTGGCTACCGTTTCTTCTAGCACGTACTTTTGCAACATTGTACACAGTAAGCAGCTAGGATCTTCTTGTAGGGTTTTTGCCAGTGGAGTGAACATTCCTGGGTAACGGCTTTTCAGTGGGCGATGCACAGTTTGTCGCTCCCAAGCATCAGCCATTAGGGCTACCATGACAGCGGTGCGTCTGACGTACATTGCCCGCATCAGTGCTACAATTTTGATAGCAAATCTGTTGCTCGGATTCATCCAAGCTGTGATGGCCGGCGATGCTGTACTGAGCAGGTTCCAATCCAAGCGGGAGTAGTCTATTTTTCTAGTGATTGGAGTTCGAGGTGGCGCTGCAAAATTGAACCATACCGTTTTAAAATCAACAACACACGATGATGTCTTTCCATTGTCGTTCTTTGCAGCGACCATAGCCTTATCTCCGCCATTAGATCCTATCTGAGGGTTTTGCTCTTTGCCTTGATCCGATTCATCAGGACCGAATCGATCGCGAGGTGTTTTTGGTTCGCTGAGCTTTTCTTTTGATCGAGCTTCATAGACCGGTGCACTTTTGTCCTTCGGAGTACCTGTCTTCGGAGTCGAAGGCTTTTTCATTCCGATTTTCGCCAACGCTTCAGCAGCCATGCTTCCACCAGCTTCGTTCAAGAGTGTTACTAGGTTGAGAGGGTTATTCCCAGTAATGCTGCTCTGATTAGCCTCTGAATGATTAGGCTCAGGAGCGGGTTTGAGACCCTCTTCGGCGTTTTCGGATTTTTCAAACTGAGATCTTTTAACTATTTTTACACTAACTCCTTCTAAACCGCATTCAAACATAATGTACCCCATACCAGAACTTCCATCCGTTGCAGGTTCCTCCGGAATCTTTGTACAATCAAACATTGCACGGCTCCTGTGTGCAGGAATCGCAGTAATAACAATCTGTGAGTCTTGCATGACCACTGGGTCATTCTTCAGTCTTCTCAATTGAGCGTGTGCTTTCCCCACGTCCAGCGTGATTATGAGTTCTTCCAATTGCTTTTCCGACGTTTCCAACAGTACTGGCTCGCCAGGAATGTTATCCGGTCTAGATTGAGAGGAAAGATGAGCTAACAAAGCCCTTGTTCCTCGAATTAGACCACTTTTCTTCAGACCACCGGTGCGAACAGTGGGTTGAGTATAAACAGTATGCATTGAAGCTTTCGTTGTTTTTCCTAGATGGAATCTGGTTGACACCCCTTCGAAACAAACCGCCAGCAATGAGGCACAGCTCAATTCATGAACATTGTCCAGAGCAGCAAAGGAAATGACCTCCTCAATCACGGAGCTTTGAATCAGTGTCACATTGACCTTGGGTAGGACAATCAATCCTTGTAGCTGGGTAGAGATGCTTTCCTCGTACACATCCGTCAAAACTGGACCACCTGGACCTTGAAGATTACGCTCAGCTGTAGAGCGTTTCGAATTGGAATGAACCTGTGACCAGTAGCTTAGGGATTGATCACGTTTCAGTATATTAACAGCTTCAACCTTGCGCACGCATGAACCATGGACATCATTGATTATCGTCAAGGGGTGCAGGGTAGACAGAGTCGGAATGAGGGACTCGATCATTCTGAAAATATGTGAATCATTGGTGACTACACATCGAATTGTTTCGATAAAGCATAAGTTTAATTATGATTTTGTTAATATTTTAGTATCAGACACTATTCGGGTTTGCAGATATAATTTGCTGCAGCACGAGAAGGTAATGATGAAAGTGATATTTTAATGTTTGGTTGATTGTCTTGAGACTCTGCCCAAATGTGGAGAAATAACGAGTTTGGAGAGAACTGGAACGAAAAGACAAAAAGCTACCCACCTAAAAAAATATACCAGTAATAGTGTATAATGCACTGAAATTTACAACAAATTAGAGTGTAACATAGCCATGAAATTAGGTTTCCAAAGTTGATCCAAAGTTTAACCCTTTCCTTCCCATGGTAGCACAGGTGATCCACAAGTTTTCGGTTCGTCTAATGTTTGTCAATCTACTACCAAATACTGTGTTCCACTATATGTGTTCTTAAGAATCTATTGGAGCTACTATTGAAAAAAAATGCAAAGGCAGTGGAGGTACGAATGTCGCTTGCAGGGGGCAACGCTCAATACGTGCGAATGAACGACTGCTACCAGATAATGATCTAGCGTTGGTGCTGGGAAAATACGGAAAAGTGAAGCGTTGTGTGCTCAAACGGTTACAATTTGGGTCCTGATTGGCTTGTGTTTGGGAGGCATTTTGAACTCATTTGGTTAGAAACTGACTGTGCACAAACCAAGAAGTTTCCAACAACATTGATTACTTGTCATTATTGTCAAAATCAATCTGATACTCAGTGATTACACTGAAGTCTTCTTTTTACACGGTTTTTTTACGCAGTTTTTTTTACACGGTTTTTCGCGATTTACACGGTACGTTTTTAACGATTTCTCGACAACGATACAACCTATCGACTTGATTCCAATCACATTATCCGTTTTAAGCTATAGGTAATCGAATGGCACACTTAAAAAAAAAAATTTGGTGTAAATACAGAATTTTTTAAAATATGTCTATATGGATCATAGAATGCTATAATTACAAATGGCATCAAAATCCGATTTTTTAAAAACATTTAAGCATGTGAAATTAAAAATCTCGTAGGTTTTTTTTACACGGTTTTTTTACACGGTACATATGATCCGTGTAAAAAAAGACCTGAGTGTACATAGATTATTGTGATTATCAAGATTACTCATTATTACTTGTGATTACTTATGATTAGAGGATTGTGGGATATGATGGCATTTCGTGTGTTCCTGGCATGTTTTTTGATGGTATATTCGTGTGTTCCTAAGGTGTTCTGAGTAGTGGCGTTTCCGTAACCTCAATCTACATGTGCACCAACTCTCAAAACATAAAAAAAATATCAAAATATTGCTTGCAATGGATAGATATCGAGTAAACTAGAAGATTGAGTGTATTTTTCAACCGATATGAATATGGCATTAAATCTGGTTTTGAAAATTGGTGCACAGGTAAAAAGTGAGGCTACGGGACGCTACTGGTTCTGTGGGATTGTTAGTATTTGGCTTATATTGTTAGTGCTGGAGTTTCTCAGGATAGCATTATTGGGCCGATATTGTATAAAATTTCACTTCGGACTTCCCTGAGTTGCCAATCCAAAACACATAAAGCAACCAATGATACCTACAGACAAAACGTTTGCTACGACTACCACGACAGTTAATTTTTTTCCAATTATTTTTGTGGCGAAATGTAGATTCCATATCGTTATTTGATGGAACTATTGTTTTAGAACTATTATACAATAACTGTAATATTCTATTGGGAAAACACAAGTCTGTTCGATGTGCTTACACGGAAAAATAGAAAGTTTCCTTTAAATTATGATATATTACAGAAGCTTTTACTGCTTGAGTTGTATCTGGGTAAGACGGTCGCTTTTTGATGGGATATGTTATACCTCGAAGGTTGAAACTGAATGCAGTAAAGTCAGCCGAACAACTTTCCCGAAGACAGAAACTTCAAATAATATAGTCAAGATCTCAAGAAATATTTTATAAAGGAAATTGGCTTGCACCACTGCGCTGCATAGTTAGAAAATTCTGAACTACTGTTCTCTAAACAATCGACATTGACCCACTGTACAGCTTTGCTCAAGACAGTAACGTTTTCAATGGCCAGGATCATGCCATATTCTATGTGGCCGTCTTACCCCTTGTGTTATTTAAACTTTTTTTTTGGTTCGGGAGAATACATCATCAAATGAAATGAAAATTTCCTGAAACTCAATTATGGAAAGTACTCTAAAAATCAATAATTGGATTTCACATAACCGTAATTTAAAATCGTTCTCCTTCATTTTCAAGATGAATGTTTAAGGTATATTTTGGTGCAATAAGACCACTGAAAAAGCGTATGGGTTTCGTAGAACATAAGAAAGGATTTTCTGTAATTCACTTAATCGCAGAAATTTTATATAGTTGTGGTAAAATTTTACTCTATGCTTAGGATGGTCGTCTAACCCCGTCAACTTCTATTAATACCAACAGATATCTCGAAGCACAATCTCACGAAAACTAAAGCCCAACGTCCATTTATAAAAAAGAAGAAGAAGAAGACGGTATCGCGATATCACAACTACTTAAGGGGAAGCTCACCGCTCCGAAAAAAATAATTACGTTTTGATTTTTCTAAAAATATTGGAAAAAAGGTAGGGGAAATGTCTCTATTGTTGACCTATGGATCTAAGATTGGGCCCATCGCTAAAAATCTGCTATTTATCAATTTTATCTAGATGAACGCGTTATTGGGACGTTAATAATGGATATTTTTGGTTGCTATTGAAAATTTAGTCGATTTCTGAATTTATGTATGGGCTATGTGAAATTCAGATGAATTCCATTAATTTTGATTATGGATGAAAATCGTGTGCTACATGAACACTATTATTGGTTTATTATTACATATACAAATGATGTCAACCTTATAGGACCAGGGTGGCAAGTGAATTTCCATTTTGAAATTCCTGGTTTTTCCTGGTTTTCCTAGTCAATGATTTAAAAATTTCCTGGTTTTAAAAACCATGTATTTAAAAAAAAAAAACAATTTTTAATAAAAAAAAATAAAGCGAATCCTTGTACCATCATTCTTCGCGCAATGCGGAATTTCACAAACCAAAATAGGTATTAAGGTTCTTGTGAATGCCCGTGAAATCTTTATCTGATTGTTTGCTGTAAAGAAGCTAGTAAGGAGCCGCGCTACTTCGTCGTATCATGGCGCCTATTTCCGTTCTATGTGCTAAAACTATAATAGCAAAGCGTTGTCACTCATGTTTTTGTAAAAACATCTTTGCTTACAACATTAATTACGATTGACACTGAAACATTTGCGATAACCCGTAAAATGAGCGATGTTAGGGGTGTATGACGAAGAAAAGCTGAGATACGACGGACTAGCGTGGAGCCCTACCTAATGTCTGAAATTTAGAGATCTATAAGCCCCTAAATCTTGAGATTTCTGTTTTTGAAACTGCGATTTTTTTTAACTTTATTATTGAGATTTTTAGCCAACGGTCTAGTTTAAAACCGTAAATCAAAGGGTCTAGGTTTATCTCAAGGTGAAATTGCGAAGTGTGATATGAATGAGGACTCTTTAAACAAACCTTTCCCGACCAGAATGAAGTATCAGAAATAATAAATACACACTGTGTTACTGAGATATACAATTATTCGTAACATGGTCTGTTATAAAACATGTACCGTAAGTAGTTAAAATAACAAAAAATATAACAAGAAATCTTCTACGTACTATCAAGAATATAACAAGTATTGTTAGGGTTTTAACAAACCTTGTTACAAAATAACCCATAAGAGTAAAAACTAAAAAGGGTATGAACTGGACTTTTTAACACGGTTTTTGGGTAACATATTGTTTGAGTGTTTTCTATTTTTAGAGTGTTGTTAAAATATTTAAAAAATCATCTGCTCCCCCTCCCCCCCCCCCAAACACAGCACCCCCCTCTCTCTCTCTCCTTTTAGCCTGCTTTACAAACACAAAAAGCGTCTATATAGCTGCCACAGGGAATCGAACCCAGAGGTTTAACAATCTTGGCTAGTGGGAAATCTGGTTTAAATCTACTGTTGACGAAGGAGTAGATGCAAGCTAACCTTTTGTGTATGCTAGGCAGAGCCTCCTTAGTTCGCTGGCGCCGGCAACTGAGTTAAAAATAAATCGTGTGTTCCCAACACCTCTGCACTGACGCAAACGGCTGAATATATTTATAACAAAGTTTGTTATTATTCTCAAATATTGCCGTTTACATTATACTCGCTAATAAAAAATTTAATTTTTTTCTGATAATAAAGTAGCATAAGCATTAAACTTAGCTATATGAAAGTAATTAATTTAAGTATATGTAACAAACCAAAAATAAGATGAAAGTGATTCATTGATTGCATATGCACTATTTGAATTCTAATACAGTGTTAGTTGTACATTTTGTTTGGTTATGCGTTGAGATCTGTCTCCCACACCATTGCAAATTAAAGATATATTCTAGGTTAGTTTTGATTGCTAATGTTCGACAGTAAGTGTTGCAATTTTCCATTGATCATTTTAATTTGTATATCATCAAAAACATATTGTCTTTCACAAATTGAAATTTATTTGAAATGGTGCACGCCAAAATTCAAAGAACGCAACTGAACTGATAATTTATGTTTTTGGATTCCGTTCATGAGCGAATAAAGGGTGTCCACGATGAAATTGCCACACTATGAAATTGCTCTAACTTTTTAACCGTTGGGTAGAATTTAATGAAAATTTGGGTGGATTTAGTTCATAGTGCATTATTTAAAGTCCTGTGATCAAAACTCGCGGAAATGGAGTCGAAAGAACAGCTCGTGCGTGATAAAATCTTGCGCATTCATCACGAGAACAAGGATCTCTCGCATCGTTCCATCGCTAAAACGTTGGGAATCGCAAATTCCACGGTGTCGCGAGTGATTAAGCGGTTCGAGGAACGGTTCACCACCGATCGGAAGCCCAGAAGTGAAGGAAAAAGTATTCCGTACAACACCAAAAATCACAACCGCGTAGTTGGGGCCTTCAACCGAAATCCGAACGCCTCCGTTAGGGATGTGGCTAAGAAGCTGCACCTAAGCCGAAGTTTTGTCCAGAAGGCCAAAACTAAGGCTGGGCTTCGAACGTTCAAGGTACAAAAGGCCCCTAATCGCGACGAGAAGCAGAACAAGTCCGCCAAAACCCGTGCCAGGAAGTTGTACCTCAACATGCTGACGAAAGTTGAATGCTGCATCATGGACGACGAAACATATGTGAAGGCCTACTTCAAACAGATCCCCGGCAACCTGTTTTTCACGGCCAAGGATAAGTTCAGCGTTCCGGAGCATGTCCGCACTCAGAAGATGTCCAAATTTGCGAAGAAATTCCTGGTTTGGCAAGCCATCTGCACGTGCGGGAAGCGGAGTGCACCTTTCGTGACCCAGGACACGATGAACGGACAGGTGTACATAAAAGAGTGCCTCCAGAAGTGGCTGCTTCCTCTCCTGAAGGCCCACAACGTCCCAACAATCTTCTGGCCGGATTTGGCCTCATGCCACTACTCCAAGGACGTGCTGAAGTGGTATGCGGACAATAAGGTCAATTTCGTGCCGAAAATGTTCAACCCTCCCAACACTCCGGAGCTCCGCCCCATCGAGAAGTACTGGGCGATTATGAAGCAGCACCTTCTTAAACGACCTAAGGTAGTGAAGACAGTCGAGGAACTGAAGAAAGTATGGGTTTACATGCAAAAAACGGTTGATTCACAGGTTGTGCAGAATCTTATAGCCGGGGTTAAGGCCAAGGTGCGGGCATTTGCGTATAGAATGTAAATAAAATACGAGTAAAATGGTAAAATGAAGTTTAATAGTTATTTCTCAATCCCTGAAAATTTGATGGCAATCGGATGAAAACTCGAATTTTGCGAATCAATTTTGTGTGTGGCAATTTCATCGTGGACACCCTTTATATCATTGGTTCACACTATTATTGTGCAATCGCTCATAGATAATTAAAATATAGGTAAGCCTTTTGATCAGAAGCGTCTTGCAGTGACAGTTTCAATTTTATAATGCTAGTTGTGCATTTTTAATCACCAACGTAACATTTTCAGGTATTACGGAATCAATATATAGTAGCCTAGCCGCTTTGAGCAAAGTAGTTTGATTCGCCTTGCGAAATGAGGCCCCTGGATTTCCATCGAGTTAGGAAGAATCAAGTTAAGGAGAGATCGAGTAAGGGAGAGTTGAGTTAATTTAATTAATTCTTAGCATCCCAATCAGAAGAGAATGCTGTTAAAAAATAGGAGAAAAAGCACTAACTTTGGCCTATGGATCTAATAAAAATCTCCCGTTCTTAAATTTTTCGTAGAACAATGCATCATCTGGACAATACGAATGAATATGTTTGATTTTTTGTTTATCATTATCAAAAAAATGCTTGCCTTCGAAATTTATTTATGGGCCCAATATTAGGGACACTTAGGCTGACATTAGGTACATTAACCCTATTAGCCCAATTCCATGTGAAAAACTTTTCCGTAGCCCTTAAAAAAGTTTAAATTCTACTACCGGCTCAAGACTAAAACAAAACAAAAATTAAAATAAAACAAACCGTTTCATTTTTCGTGCTACTAATGCTAACAAACTTATTTAAAATGTTGTTAAATTTTATTCTAACAAATTGTGTAACAATTTTATATCAAATATCATGATGATTTTTTATTCCTCATTTCACCATAGAGCTCTTAAAACAAGATTATATCAACGGGTATTATGTATAATAGAAGTTGATATAATCATGATATAATTTTGTTAGAACGTTCTGGTCGGGTTGCTTCTAACAATTTTACGGATTTCCAGTTTGTTTAAATTTTCCGCAAATTGTCAAGGATTAAGGATCTTATTTAGCGGAATTTTGATTACAACTTGATTTCAAAATCATATGATTAAAAGATTTCATAAACAACGCTGGTTTAATAACTCTTATTATTAAAAAGACTGACTGCTGAAGTTCATAGAAACTCCCTGAAGTTCGTAGAACTTCCCTGAAGCGTTAAGGTTTTTCCTTAACCTTTGGAATGGAAGGAACTCTTCCATTGAAGTTTGTATTGCCTGAATTTCATGGGACTTCCCCGAAGTTCGAAGGACTTTTTTTTTAAATCTTAGGACTTCCCTGTAGTTCGGAGTTTTTTGAAATTCATAGGAATTTCTTAAATATCGTAGAAGTACCACGAAGTTCGTAGAAATTCTAAGAAGTTCGTAAGACTTCCTTCAAGTTCGAAGAACTTTCTCGAAGATCTGAGGACTTCCCTGAAGTTTGAAGGACTTAACTGACTATATGAGGACCCTAAATTTAGAAGAGCTTCCCTGAAGTTCATAAGGCTTTGAATATCGAAGGGTTTTCCAAAAGTTTGTGGGTTTTTCCTTAATTTTTTAGGATTTTCCTGAAACTTGTAACACTTTCCCGAATTTTGTAGAACTAGCATGAAGTTCGAAGGCCTTATCTGAAGTTTTTAGAAATAGAACTTTTTTATTGAAGATGTTGAACAGGTACGTCAAAGTAGTTACGCGTCGACAATGCTTAAGTCTGCTATCAATTAAGCACAAATCATACATGCAATTAATTCGAGAAAAAAATTAAATTAAAAATAAATACAAAATATATTTACTAAATTCTCAGCGTAAATTTTGTTCATCAATGTTTAGTTGTGTGAAAGATTGAGTTTGAACAAAATGGTTAGTTTTGACCTGATTATAAAAATAAACTTTGACATACATAAAATTTAAAACCTATTTAAATTATACAAACAAGATTATTTTCCTGGTGGACTTATGAAATTCCTGGTATTTTCTCGGTTTTTCCTGGAAAATAAATTCTCGACTTTTTCCCGGTTTCCTGGTTTTCCTGGTTCACTTGCCACCCTGTAGGACGGGTCAACTTTACAATCGTTTAAACTTGACACTGCACACGCGGCGCGCAGTTGCTTAGAGCAAAGGCGACAAAGTTGTTCCAAACTATGTCTCAGGTGGTATGGTCAAAATTGAGCATTTTTTGAATTTTTGACAATCAAGTGAATAGGTTCGTTCCGTTTCCCAACGAAACTTTTAAGTTCTCCCGGAAATCCAGATCGTAACTAAGTTCGTTCAAATTTTGCACAGTAGTTGGGGACCTATCGAAAGAGCAGTGGGAAGCTGAGTTGTGATCCGCCATACAAACTTGACCCACCCTACCCAGACAACAAGGAGTCGTATAACAATGTACAGACAGTATCGTAAATTGCTACAGTTTAAGTCAAAATCGCATATAAGAATGGCATACCTCGCATTATGTTTAAGTTAAATCGTATAGAAGGCAAATTTCCGACTTATATGCGATGACTCATTTTTCCGTCGTGCTGTATCACAAATTAAATCGGATAGCATCGTAAGACTTTTCAAAATGATTTTTTATTACAGACAAAATCGTATATGATGTTAAATCAACTCGTTTAAAATTAAATTAAAATAAACACGTATATGGCCTCCACTTTTGTACGTATAAGCCATTTCTTTGCATTCTATACGAATTGTTTGTTTGTATATATGTTTATATATCACGAAAACAACTTTGAATATACGTGCATTCTGGTTGTCTGGGTAGTGGCCATCTTGCCCCGTCTACCCCTATATTGAACAAAATAATTCCTATCTCTTAAATCGCGTAGCAGGCGCTGCTAAACGATATCATCGAAACTGACAATGTTGAGTTATTTGCTCTAGAAGCATGAATCTGCTGTATCTAATTATATTTATACATATTTATTTCAACCATCAAATATTATGCTACCGATCGGCTCACGGCAGCGGAAGAAAAATGGCAGAAAGGAATTCAAGAAACAATGCAAAATCAAGAAAAGATGATCGATTCAGTGATAATTATGTGTACAGTACAGATTATTCACCCTCAGAAAGTGGGACATACTATGAAGATGACGGGGATTATGACAGTCTGCGGAATTCTCGTGAAGAGAAGGATACCTCTGACGGCACGGGTCACTACGACATCGAAAACTTGAACGCCTTCAGCGATGATGAAGTTTCCCTAGCATTGTCCATGCTGACGGAACATGAATTGGATAAACTCGACCGATTGATAGATGATAACGACCAACAGGATGCCGGTGAAATGATGACAAAGCGTGAAATAGACAAAACACAAAAGAGGAAACGAGAGTGTCATGGCGAATCTTGCCTCCAGGCGGAAAGGGATGGAGCTCGAGCAGTAAGAGGTTCAAACACGGAAAAGGATCAACTTGCTTCGTTTAGATCCTGGTTTTCAAGAAATAAAACTACAAAAACTACTAGAAGAACTACTACAACCAGAAAGCCTTCGGTGAGAACTTCAAAAACACGGACACCAACGAAACCAACCAAAAAATCTCCATCTACGAAGATCATTAAGGGTAGGGAGCCACAGAGATATCTACCTGATAATAGCAATATATTACGTTATGGCAGCAACAAAGGCGCGAGGGATATGATTGATAAAAATGTTCGAGAAAAAATAAATTTCTTAACACGCAAAATAAAAAGGCGAGGTAGGATTTAATGGTTTATCCTATGCAACGAAAACTAAATTTGATTTAAAACTTTTAAATTTACAGCGGATCAAAAGTCGGAAGACAGACTCTCGGTGAGAGGAAGGAAGGCGCCTTTGCACCACACGGGAATGAATCGACAACAGGAAACTTCAATCCGCCGAAAAAGGAATTCTATCGTCTCTGGAACACGTGGAACGTTGGAGGATTCGTTTCCTCATCCCAGCCATGAAACGGCTTCATTTCACGCCCCGATGGAACCATTGGTCCGCGTTAAGCGAGGCCCTGTTGCAATATAGTATCTTTTACTTGCTGCTTGTGTACTGTATTATGTTCTATATATGCATTTGTACGTTCCAATAAAGCCAATAATTAGTAATCTTACCTTTGCAAACCTTCCAGAAGCAGCGGCGTTAGCATGACATCCACTTGACCTTTGAACCGAATCACCACCGAATTTCGAGTGGCCGTTTCACCTTGCGAGCTCAGGAATTCATTTTCGTTTTCCTTGCTCTCGTGCTTCTCGAAGCTACCGCGTACCATCACACTCGGGTCCCATGGGTGTGGCTTAGGCAACGTGGACATTCCAGATGCCGATGACTGTTGGCTACTTCCGTCGTAACGCGATATGATTTTCACTTCTCGCCAGTGCGAATAGTTATCAAAATGCGGAACCAGTTTACCACCGATGTAAACCAACCCACCATCTTCGTTCTGCTGGAAAAGTGGCATTGAAAATGCGTCTGCTCCTAGGGGCATCGAGCAATGGGACCAGTTAGAACACCGAACCTGCGCCAGATGGGTTACATAGCTGGCCATCAGCAGTGGCGAATCAACGATCGGTCGATTGATTTGCATATGCAGGTTGACCAATGTGATGTCTTCCTGTGAGGAAAGTGCCGAGATGAACGAACTTGAAGATAGTGAATGCGATTCGGACGAATCGTGTGGGTCCACCTGAAGAAAAAAGCCATTGGTTATTTTATTTTCATCATTTCGCAGAGAAGCACTGTTTTTTGATAATGGTTGGGCATGTGATTAGCTATGTGTAGGCGTATAATTAGGTCTGTAATAATTTTAACGAACAAAACACACGTTTGAGGCTAATACGATGCCAATTTAGAGCAAATACGCTGGCAGTAATGCGGGGATTATTAAAAAATAATAAACGAGAAAAGATTTAATTTAGGCGAAAAATGAATAATTTCAAAGAATGCTGATCCCAATAGGTCCTATTATTGCAATACTGCTTCAACATACTGCACAGAAACAGAAATGAATGTTGCCAAGATTGGAATGTTGGTTACCTGGCGGAAAAGAATATGTTATTGACTGTGAAGACGAGAATCTAAATATTTCGTGATGAAGAGAGGAAGATTGCTGAAACGCAATTAAGCAAGGAGCAGGATGTTATGCACGGCATTTATACAACTATCAACATTTATCAACGGCGTAAGAAGTTAAGTTATGTCATTTAATGGAAGGAAGAATTATCATGAAGCATGATTTCTATATGCAGATAATAATAGGGGATCTAGGGGCAAGTGTGCCACGCTAAGGATTTTTCGTTCTATGCATTCCATATCATGGATTTTTATAGGAGTTTGTACACCGAACTGTATGTTTATGACGTTCACCCTATTATTTATGGGAAATCTCTTTCGAACGGAATACATAATAGGGGTGATTGTCTTAATGTATCATCAATATAATTCAAATTAAATCAGATCAAAAGCTGATTATGTTTTTTTCTACACTTTATGTCTAATCTAGAGCTCATAAGAGAAACGCGCAAACAAATAAAATAACTGGCAACATAATGATATTTTCTCACACGCACTAGCAACCCTAAACGTTGTTCACTTGTCGCTTTCGTCATGTATTGTTGTTCTTGGTGAAAATTGAGATTTTAGGTCAAACGTTATTAAAAATATGCTTTACGATGATCCATGATCATTTTTTTTATTAAAATATACTCGTATTATTTATCGGGCGATTACTACTAAGAATTATTTTCTGCCCACAGTTCAATTGGCTACATATCCGACTTCTCGTTTCTTTCTCTTACAGATCTCTAGTCTAATCTGCCTGTTGAAAATGCTACGGAGCAAGAGTGCCCATTAGGGTGGCTCGAAATATCGATTTTACTTCACCCCACTCAATGCTTTTCCCCAAATTAGGGCTAATTTTGATGTGAACTCGTATTTGCTTGTACTTCACTTCATTTCCAGTGAGCGCTTCATTCATCAGGTTGAGTTCACGGTGGATGACGTTGAACACGCGATAGCAAAATCCCTTCAGGAGACCATCGCAGCCGGGGGATTTTCGGGATGCGCTAGCTCTTATTGCAGCGAGAATCGATTTGGTGATCTCACTCGTGCACGCTTCATTTGACTCGTCGTTTGGTGGTATGGCATTCTCGCAGACGAACTGCTCTCTCTTCCTCGGAGTATAGGCGGGAAAATTAATTCACCATGTGCTCCTCGATCGCATGAGACTCATCGATGGTATCGTGATGCTCGGTTTGTAGCCGGGTGATGACGGTTCGTTTTCTTCTCCGTTCTCCCAGTTGGAAGATGGAGATGGGTTCTCCTGCTACGTACGTCTCGTTGATGCGCATGAACATGTGCGAGGAGTTGCGCTGCAGTGCCAGCATCTCTCCTTTGATCTGATTGATCGTTGTTAGCATCGCTGGGTTTTGATAGTAGCCGTCGTATGCTAACTGTAGCTCGATATAGAGTCGTTGGTGTTCGTTATGGAACTCGTCGAAAGCAGTTCGCGATTTCCATTTGAAAAAATTTTTGGTTTTGGGCTTAGCATACGACAGCCACCATTCCAACCATGAGGCATAGTTTCGGCACTGTCGACGTTAACGACGGTGGCACATCGGGCTTCAGTCCGGCTGGTTTTGCTCTTGGTGGTTTTTTCGTATGATGGCTTCAGAGGGAGGTTCGAATAATCGATTCAAAAGGTGTTTTCTCGCCTCATCGCGGAAAACTGGACGCGACTTGGCTCAACGACACACGGAAAATAGTCAAAAATGCCTGACTCTCTGATAAGCGTAGTTGATAAAAAAAAAACGTCTACACGTCTCAAAGGCTGAGCGATAACTGTATGATCGAAAAGAATGCAGTGGGTAAATTTACTCAATAAAGAGAAACCTAATTTTGGGTAAATTTAACTTAACCATAGGTTATTTTACCATGCACTTTTTCCGAATAAAAAAACCTAAGTCAAATTAATTCATATTTATCCGGGTTTTTTTTTCCGAGAAACAACCTATTTTTGGGTAAAATTACTTTTTACCAAGCAATTTTTTTCCAGAAAACAAATGATTAAAGAAAAGGGACGCTCGCAGTACAACCATAGAGGTAACTTTAAGACCAGAAGGTCCCGAAGAAACGAGCTCAACTGTTTGGCTCAGCTCTGGTACTATCTTCGGTCCCAAGCTAATCGATTCACCCCTCGAACATAGGGAAATCCACTAGCCCCTCATTTTATCTGTCAAACTTTCATAGCGAATTAAAACAAACATAGTGTAGTACTGGAATTTATACTAAAATGGGGTACGTTAGTCGATTTGCTTGGGACCAATAGGCTAGTCAAGTAGTGAGCCAATTTAAAATCGTTAGTTTCGTATTGATTGTTGGTACAACGAGCACGTTATTATTCCGGATGTTAAAAATAAAGAACATAACAACCGTGAAGACAACAACATATTTATTATCATTCAAAATCAGCCAGATGGAACAAGGGATAACATCGAAAACCCGATTTCTTCTCGTTCGTTGAACGCTAGTACTGCAAATAGCATCTGAAAAAAATAATACGGAGGAAACGAAAATATTTATCTGCGCTAGCGCTTCGGATTCACAACTCACCAGATAACGTCGATGTATGGATTCACAACTCACCAGATTACGTCGAACTTGGAATCAAACTACCGATGGTGTCGATGGAATGAAATAGTCGCAGGAAACTTCCCTAAGAATCCAGATGGAACGAAAAAAAAAAACTTCCGGACGTCGCACGCGAATGAACTTCATTCGAAGGGAGCAAAATCGCAAATGGCGTCATCGTGGAAGTATAATGCACTGGCATTTTTTTCATCCAGAGTTATTTTCACTCAACGCACGCTTTATAGTAAGTTACTCAGTGTTGAGGAAATTGAGGCCTAAAAATCTCAGTTTTTGACGTAGGATTACGTCTTTTGGCAACATATTGAGGGTGCAATAACAAAAAAATGGACCGCGTTACGAAAATCGGTCAGTTTTTGACCATTTATAACTCTGTAAATAGCGGATGGATTTTAATTATAAACAAGCCAATCGATTTGAAATTTTCTACGAATCTGCTAAAATGAACACTTTATCAATTTTCAATAGGTCACTATTGAAAATTACACAAATGTTCAACTGTAGCAATGGTGATCAAAATTATCACCGATTGCCTGCAAAAAGGGCGTGGTGTCCGGTTGGTCGTCATTAGCAAAAGCAGCAGTGAACATTGTTCTCCAGTACACAACGAAAGGCTACCCGCAAACAGCGAACAGCAGCTCACAGGAGCGTCCATTCACCGTGTTGAACACCCTAATAGCTCAGCATTACTCAACCATCACGACAAAACGGTTCTTTTCAGGACCAGCATAAATTATTGTTGTTTAAGAGTTAATTTTCATTGAACGTTCGCTCACCTTGCTGCCAGTCACATCACTCCCAAAGCTCTTTGATAATGTACCCATCAACCAAAAGTTTGTGGGTAAATGCGTAACAGTATTGAAGTGGTATATACACATTCTCGCAATGACCGAATACCACATGACCTTGTCAATTAACCATAAACACTTCGAATTAAGGTAAGGTTTTCTCCAGGACGCAAGAAAAAAGCAAACACATCTCGAATTTATATGATTGATCGCGAATATCTCGCGATTGTAGACCCTTCAATCAATTTTCGTTTTTTTAGATAACTAATGAATAAACTAAAAATTCCATGCGTTTTGTGCACGAAAATGCGTACTAATTATGTCATCAGAAAACGAGGTGTTTCCGTGATGGCAAATGGTGGTTTCCCTAGCATAGTCGCCGAATATTGATACCGAGCACGTAATCCTACGTCAAATCTTCGGTCGCGTCTTAGATACAACCTCTTACTATTTGTTGCTCACCTTTAGGTAATATACGTATTACTCAACCTTTTAGTTAAAATAAACCATCTTAACACATTGATTTTTACCCAATGGGATACTTTAATGGTTTTACTTAATTTTGGGTTGTTTAAACTCAAGCTTTGGGTAATTTTCATTTTCTGTGTACGTTGATCCAACCGAGGGGGGCGACACATCTAAATCTCAATTCTAGATGCTTAAAAAATCTCACACTAGCGAATCAATCTTCGAAAAATCATCTTTAATTTCTCGCATCTACTTGCATCGTGCTTGATCTTTTTGCAGGAAATCTTCAAAATCGACATAAATCTTCCTTCTATCTACTCAGCGTGCGTGCAGCTAGCCACAGCAAAACACAATCTTTTCTGCATCGTAGATAGAGTCGTCCCCCTCGGATCCAACCAGGTATTACTAAAGTCCTATACAGTAAAAGTATGGACGTCAGTCAAAAGTTGTTCGAATCGAACCGTCAAAATGCATGGAACAGCTTTTTTCAGTGTTGTGGTGACAGTCGTCCATACTTTAGCTAAAGGGCTTTAGGTACTACCAACCGCTTTCGAAAGGACCATAAAAACCATAAAATAAACCTATGAAAATTCAAACATTTCGAGAGAAAGGAAACTTGATACATAAGAAGAGATTCAACAAACCACGTGTAGAAGCATCGAATTATGATGTACCTAATAAAATTGCTGACCACGAGCTGTTTAGTGTCGAGTATAACATCTACATCCCTTCGCGACATCTGAGTCTGAGTGGGTCGGGTGACTTTCGCAGGTTCAGTTCTCCCAAACTTTATTAAACTTGATGGTCCTTTTTCCGGTGTGATTGTTTGTACAGAGGGATATTGCGGCCACAAAACTCGTTGTGACAATTGTGAAACCATGAAGAGGATTCTTGTAACAAAAAAGTGTACTTACTGTGGTGAGAATCCTCACCCCTTGCAGGAGTGCGCAATGTAAAAACAGCGCTCAGTAGTCATATGCACAAATTGTGAAGGCTACATCAGCCGTCCAAGATTATAACCAATTTTCGATTTTGTCATTTGAAGAATCGGACTCTGACTCATCTGATGAGGGTGACTCTACGGTGGTACACGCACCTTCGAAAACGAACGGATCCTCAAAACGAAAATGCTTTTCCCTGACAGTGCGCACTAGAAAACTAGTCACAAAATTCCCGGGGAATGGGGATGAAAGCATAAAACCGAAGGCTCCTACTACTCCCTGGCTGCAGTAAGGATTTTCTCCGCTACCAAACAAAGATAAGAAACATAAAAAAGCTGCGCCTCAAACTTCTGTAAAGAAATCCAAGTCCTAACGAGAATTGCTATCTTTTTCGGACATTGTGGAATTCATATTAAACATGTTCAACATACAAGACCCTCTTAGAAGCTTAGTTTCTGCCTTGCTTCCAACATTAGAAGCATATCTTGGTCCCTCCTTGCATCAATCATATCTTTCGATGGATAATTCATCGAATGAGGTCGAAGATGTGATCACTGTGCTACAGTGGAACTGCCGTATTCTAGTTCCTAAACAAGACTTGTTCAAATTTTTACTTCACAATTCCGATTGTGATATATTTGCTCTCTGTGAAACATGGCTTTCTTCCGATAAAGAACTCAACTTCTACAATTTTTGATTTTATACGCCTGGATAGATGCGATTCTTATGGACTGTGTACTATTAAAGATCAAAAAGTGCAACCCTTTCTACAAAATTTCCCTTCCAGTTCTTTCAGGTGTCGAAATCTTCACTTGCCGAATAAATATGAAGAACAAAGGTCTTTGCATAGTTTTAGTATACGTTCCACAAAGCACTTCCAGTAGCCGTAGTCAACTCTGGAATGGATAATGACGCCGCCAGAGAGCGACTTTCGAATACGCTCAAGGCCCAAGAAAGACAACCCTATGTTCCTATCAGAGACGTGTTGGAAACCCGCGATATCTGCAGTCGATTTATGTGTTTCTGTAGATGGCTAGTATAAGAATTTAATTCCTTTGCCTCTTGTGTCTCCTTATTAGTTTTTGTTTGTCTTGTCCCTCCCTTGTGTATCATCGTCGCCCACTGGTTGCCACACTCGGTCGAACTTCAGACGCAATTGAATCTAGTACCGCACTACCGTTCATATACTGGCGACAACGACCACACGGTTTCAAATTATGAACGATTATATCATAATCTCAATTTATGTTTTCAGTTTGTTTTTATTCTCTGCTCGGGATTGAAGTTTCTGGTGCGTAAAATACAGCTAAAAAATCATGGCTACTGGGGATTTTTTTTACTATCGGTCTGGTTATCACCATTAATTTAATGAAATTTTGCCCACAAGTGGAGATTATCATTATGACATGCTATGTGTCGATTTATAGATAGCTGTAACCTAAGGTGGTTAATTCGAGTATAGGTAAAATTAGTAAGATTTTTTTACCTGATTGTTTATGATGCCTAACTTTACCGTGATATTGTTGTTGGCGCTCTTGATGACGCCGCCCTCTATAGGCCTGACGATGAGTCCTATGAAAATCCCAGCATGGCGTTCATTCCCTCATCAGGGAATCTCTCGAATTTCGTTGGGTAAAGGTCATTGCTGCTGCTATCGTATGATATTGTTCCATCGCTCGCTTCGTACACAGATTCAACAATTGTAGTGGCGTTGTAAGTGGCGTTTTGAAAATGTTTTCTGTTATTTGCCACCCTAATAAAAATTGTATGGTTAATTTGCTTAACGACGTGTTCTGGGTATCATCCAAACCATTTGTGGAATAGTTCAATGATTTGGGTTATCGTTCGTCTATGGTTATTTTTTATTAGGGCAGCTCTTTCCAGAAATTCAAGGAATGGTCCGATCTCTTCATATCCTGTTGCACACTGGTTTTCCAGGTGTAATACGGCGACCAAGTTTTTTTTCTTCCCTGTGATTTATTATCGTTGTCTTCTTCAAAACTTCATCGTCTTGATCTAAAGAAAAGAAAATCGCCAATCGATCAAGCCCAATTCAAAGATAGTACCTGTGTGATGTCGCATTCGAAAAGTGTTGAACCAAATGAATAATAATTAGACTCAATTATTTAGAAAAAAAAAACAATTCATTGTTAAAATCATAATTCTAAACTACACAATTATTTAATTTTGGTTTGTAGTTAAATTTCAACAAACTTTTGGTCCGCTACATTACACTTTTCAAAATGTAAAGATACAGATAAGCCCTGGGACCTGGTTTGAGTTAAGCAATCCTGAAGGTTATTTCAATGCCCAGGGATCAATCTCTTAAATAATCAATATTAATTTCATTTGATGTTTGGCTGAAATACGATCTTCAGCAAAGTTGTAACTGAGAAAATTTACCATAAAAAATACTATCGAACTATCTTTCAGAGCAATATGGAAAAAGGCTAGAAGTAAATGAACAAAAAGTTTTATTTTTCCATAGTAACTTCCATATAATGTTCAAATGGTTTGTGCCAAGTAAGTTTCTTTACAAATAAGATCTAATTTTGGGAAGCTAATCAGAACCTCATCGTTTCAAAACCGTTTGAGCATGTGGAGCGAAAATTTATCCATGTTTTCATAATAATGGATGAATACAACAAGTTTGTTCTGAAAAAGTTTGGAAAGTCCGTCAAATTGGTTGAAGCAATTATACGAAGCAAACTTAAAACGCGATTTTGTCGGCTTGCTCATTTACGCTATAATACGAACAAAGGAAGAGCGACAGATACTTGAAACTCGAATATTGAAATACTGAACAGTGTTTCTGTTCATGATATTGATGGTCTAACGCAAACAAAATGTGTACTGTTATTGCACATGTAGGGTCATAAGTCAATGATCACTGTTTGAATGTTTCTTATACATTGGATATACATATTTTTGGACAATTTGTAATATGTTTTGTAATTGACGCAGCGCAGTTAGCTATATTTTGTACAATTGTTACAAACTTTTGCGTAGAAGCTCCTAACCCTAAGTGATGTGTGTTTATACGAACCTTTGCTCTGATATCAATCGGTTACTCCAATTAGGGGGATTCACATGAACATGTGCTACCTACTAGTTGATACACGGTGTCTCCGAAAGAAAACCTTATTTAAAAAAAATCAGGATCGTTGAAACACAACGCAGCAAACGAAAGGTTAGACTCGCCCGTTCGTTAATAAAATGTGTATGGTTATTTTCCTTAACGTTTCCAGGGTATCATCCAAAAAATTTGTGGAACTTTCAATCATTAGGATTATCGTTTGGCTGTGGTATGAGGCTATTATCGGAATGTTCTATCGGGGGGTCTAGAACAAATTTTGATTTTTTTTTTCATATTTTCTAGTGTAAATTACGACCAAAAATTAATGTATAAGCCGATTTAAGCGCAAAAACTGTATGGAAAAATGACCATCGATAAAACATTTTGAAACTAGTTTAAGAGGCTCCTTTTCGTTTTTGATTTGAGTGTTTCAGCGATACTGATAAGTTTTATATTAATGTTGTTCTGCCAGAGACACTGTGTGATAAATCATAACAGAAAGAAATCAAAATCAAAGCAACAGAAAATTTGTTTAATAACATAAGCGAACACAATGTTATTAGGAACGCAACATAAAAACAACGGAAACAAGGTAAATATGGGAATTATACTGGTAGATGGCGCCACTACAGAGTTGTTATTGCTGCTAGTTATGCTACTCACGTCATAAACCGGTTTGAAATGTCGGAACTCGGGTCGTGGTGAGATATTACTGAACTTGCGCAGAGGTGTAGCGAGCCCGTGAATCCGACGTTCCTCTTCATTCTGGTGGGCATATTTGGTATGTGGAGGGTATTTTGTTGTTCGAATTTGCATGGCGTGATAACATAGAGGCATTGATTTTTGTTTATGAGTGAACGGGTTTCACGTGATATTGCAATATTTGCGTTTTTTTTTTGGTGGTACGTAGGCGTAGAAATAAGAAAATATTCACTATTAATGAACTTGGTCTTGAGCTAATTTTTTTTCTACTTCGACAAACTGTGAAAACATGCAAAAACGCAATATCTGGTACTTTTTGGTTCATTGAAACAACTCATGCATAGAGAAAATTGACTTGAAAAGCATGACTTACCAGCTCTGCTGTTGACTGAGGCCTCAACGGAAGACTGCGATGTTCTGGAGTGTGAATCTCATAGTCACTCCGATGTGTCGACAGTTTTCCCTCCATTTCGTTAGGTCCAACAATGCTGAGATCGGAAGCAAACCTTTTCTTAGCTATCATAGTCGACAGATCGGTAGCCTTCAGGCTGGAGCTTCGTGAGGCATGCAGATCTTCATCGGCGGAAAAGAATGCCTCCGAAGGGTTCTCCGATGTCAGGGAAACCGTTCGTTGCACATCTCTTATGATGACATCCTCCGCTACCTTGGGGCTGAGCGAGTGCTCCGAATCTGATTCCAGTGGGTGCGGCTGGGGTGCTGAATGGGACAATTCTGTAGGTTCCTCCAGCACACTAGCTGTGTCATCACCCTGGAAATACTCCATCGTGAGACGCGAATCGGATGCGCTGGTTTTTGGGGCCTGCACTTTAATTGCCTTTGGCGTGAGAAGTCGCGATTCGGAGTCCTGTCTCGTGGAGTTGGATATCTTGGAGCTGTTGAATTTTGGACTGGACTCGAGCAGGCGATAGTACGGCACATCGTGGGAAATGGTATTTTGCCTGTAAATAGTTATACACACGAGTTTAAGAATGAAAATAATTTCTTTTGTCTCATTTCAAAAAAGCTTTTTTTCAACATTCAAAGTGTTTTTTATGTTACTTCATACGCGAAGTTAGCGATTTTCAGAGTTGGTTGGAAATGCTAACATGAAGCTTTAGTGCGATGATTTATTAATGAGCAAAAGGAGGACGCACATCTTTTGCCTGTAGTCTTGAAGACATACTTCAAGTCCCCGCGTACATCGTACGGGTTAGGCAAAAGATGTGCGTTTGACTTTATACTGTCGCATTAATGGGCCTTCGCTCATTTTCAACTTCTATTCAATTTTCATACTGCCGTACTCTAACGGAACTATCCACCTACCCTCTTCTAAAGATCATTGTCTAGCTTTTTTTTCAAGTCAAACGGGATTATCAGCAGTGATGGATTGCTTCTCACAGGATGTGTTCCGTCCGTTCCCAGAAGGACTGAAGTGAGGTAGCACCCAATCCTATTTCTACGGCAACACTACGAACAGCGACGCTCAATACTATCGAATCCCTACCGTGCGAGGGAGAACAGTACAAAACGAGATCAGTATTAATTCAACCTTCAAAGTGTGTACACTAGAGCAAAGAGCAATAAATGTAGTTAAGTTAGTGTAGCAAACGTGTTCTTTCCATCGAACCGATCATCCGAAATTACAGTCCACCACCGAAGATCCGTCCATCCAAGGGAATCGTCAAGGGCACTTCCAGTGTCATCCCAAGATCGTTTTCCACGGCGATTCCCTCCCGCATGTGTTATGGTTCATTGCATCGGAACATAATTTTGGTCCTTCGAGCCGGAGCGGAATGCAGCGAAGGTTTAGCTGCCCACGAAGAGGATCGGTACCCAGTCCACGAGAGGTTTCCTGCCAGGAGAAAAGCCTAATCATCCCGAGCGAACACATCGTTGCTACACGAAACGAAACGAAAACGAGTTTCTTGCTGCTGGTGCTGTGTACACACATTCGTATGCGCCGCGTAGTGAGCGGTCCGCAATCGTCCGCCATCGCAAAAGACAAAAAGTGAACGCCATTTTGCTAACTCCGAACGAATCGAAAACAAGTGTGTGCGTGTACAAGGTCATGTACAGTTGCGTCGTGTGTGCAACGTTGCCGAACTCATACCGAAACATTTAGTCTCGTCGCGTGTGCTACGTTGCCAGATCCGTGTCGAAACGATCAGTGCGTCGCGTGTGTTAGAAAAAGGACAACTGAAAAATAAGAACAAAAGTGAAAAAGTGACCTTGAAGACAAACCAAAAAATGCCGGTAGAACATTCACCGTTGAAACAAGTGCAGCAAGAGGAGCAAGTACAACAATTGGATCAAGCGGAACAATCAGAAGACGTTCCAATTGTGCAACATATGGAGTTGCCGGGTCCGCCTACCGGGCACCTTTCAAGATCCAATTCATCAGGTTCATTTCACGGATTCAATTGGGAGGAGGCTATGGATTCTGAAACGATGCGGAGATTGAAGGGTCTGTTCCGGCAGAGAGGACAAATCGAGCAGAAGCTAGTGCGAATCCAGTTAACCTTGAGAGACCAGAAAAGTATGAGGTTGGCCCAGCTGCAGTGCACCAAGGAAAAACTCGTAGCCATCTACACCGAGTTTAGCCACTTCCATAGCGAGATCATGGCCTTGATTCCTGACGAAGCATCGGATGAGCAGGATGACATTTACTGCTCCTTCGAGAATCGTCACAGTGAGTTGTCAAATCGCGTTCAGGAAAGAGCAGAGTGCAATTTCTTTAACTGAAAATTAGATAATGCATGCGTGAACATGTAAGTATAATTGATGAAATCATTCAACACCTTTTCCATAGTCTTTAACAAAATTGATGAAAGACTTATGGGCCTGAATGTTTTATCACGCATCCCATTTTTTGGTATGAATATAACTCTTACCAATTTCCATGAAGGATTGGATTGTTATAGTCATTTTAACACTCTTGGGTAGTTCGTGACATATCCGGGGATGAGATGGACACAGTATTATGGTTCCCGCTTAACTCTCAAGCCCTCAACGTCTGATGCTGAAAAATGTTAAAACTGTCATAAACCGTAATGTCTGAACAGATTTTCTACCTATCCATAAAAAAAAAACGTTTTACTCCACAAGTTTTGATGAGTGCTGATGAATTTGCTCAGAAGTGGCTGAAAATCACCTTAATAAAAAGTAAATAAAAAACAAGTTTTGATGAGTAAAAATCTTTTAATTCTGAAAAAAAATTGATTGAAACGGGGTGGTTTTTGACGTTGAGGGTTTCAGAGTTAATACAAATTAGAAAAATGTCTTCATACAGGCTTTAACTTTACTGAATATCCCCCTTTTAAATCCCTTCCAAGAGCGTAACCATTAGATTGATGTTAAATTTGAAAATTTCTATCCACAGTGCTCAAACGGTTCGAAATCGGGTCCTGATTTTAACTTTATATAACTACTATAGGAAAACCAAACTTTATGTTCATTTTCTTCTAGCCTCAGCCTGTTTCAGACAAACCTCTTTAAATAAATTTTCCTTTAAAACATCGTCACGGAACTCACTAAAGACATCTCGCGAGCTATTCCCGGAAACAGTTGGCTTCCCAAGTCTCAAACAATCTTGTATACAAGTTCGATAGAATTTATGGAAACATCAAAGTGATCTGACGCCAGCTAAACTACTAAAATTAAGTTGAACGTTAAATGCGTGTAGGACGATTGAGGAGAAAATGTTACGTCTGTTTGTCTGTGGTTACAACATGATCAAGCATCAGTTTTGAGGGCAACTCTATATTCTGTAGTGTGACATAGTAGTCATGATTTGTTTGCTCTATTCTACACCAGAAACACCAATGTTGCCTGCTGAACAGTTCATTGAGCAAAGAAATGAACTAGCCTACTGCTAAAAATCTCTATAACATAACACAGTTCGTTAGTACCGAATAGGATAGGTTCAGATAATGGTGTCAATCACATCACAACAGAACCGTAACCCTTATCCATTGCGTTAATAGAAAATGTTACAAAACTCAACAGATTGGTAGTTCTTGAACGTCCTTTAACAAAATCATGCTGTTTACCGGTAATTAATGCTTAACTTGTTATTCTTATTGCTCAGCGCACACCCTGGCCGACTACCTGAGCAAAGTCGGTTAACAAAATGAAAGCAAATCGATATTAAAGTTTGCAGCTCCTATCATAATGAAAACTCATTTTGATTTCAACTGTCGCGACATAAGTCTGATATCATATTGTGCTTTCATTGCGCAGTCAAAACTTTTTAAATTAAAGCAACTTAACTTGAAGTTCTGCTGTTAACGCCTTGTTTAAAATTTAATTTAAGTTCATCTGTTGTTGAACTAATGATTATTGTTTATTTGTTTTGTTTAAATCGTTTTAGGTCATTCGTGACTTGCCCGGGGTGAGATTTGACTCTTTCAGCCTTTCAGTCATTCAGCGTGAGAAGCATGGATGCTAACCATTTACGACAGGCCCGTATTCGGTAAAACATGTAGAATGCAAAATGAGTAATCAAATTGATTTCATTAAAAGCAGGATTAGTTTTCCGTTTGATTCAACAGTGTAAAAGTTTGCTCTCATTTTTGCTGTGTTAACTGTTAAGTCAACCAAAATGAGATCAACTGGAGTATTTAAATAAGTTACAACATAACAGCAAATTTTGATTTCAATTTGATATCCAGCTTTGCTCGGGTATCGCCCGCCCATCTGCACTTAAGCTAGGTATGAACCTACGGAAATTTTGGTCGTGACCTATGCTAGACCGTATAGCATAACGACTAGCTTTAGATTTGTTGGGGATAGTAAGAGAATAAAAGAATAGAGAAGAGCGGCAGAGTACTTGTTGTTTTTCTGAAAAGAGAGGAACAAAAACAGCACGCCGACTTGTTGTGCTGCATGAGCCATGTTCGCTTTCATTCCCACTCCTGCGGGTTACGTCCCTCTTCACGTGCTCACTCACTCAAGTATCCTGGGAACCTCCAGAGGTGCAGAGGGCCAACATGAGAAACCTCCATTCTGAGCGGTTGCTAGACTGGGCCCAGGTCAAATTCCTATTGGCTTGCTTGATTTCCTTGTTGGGGTTTTGCTGCCATAAGCCCCTGTGCCTTTGCTGTGACGTACTGATAAATTTGATTCACATGCTTCACACGCTTGCCTGCAGTGATATTGTCGGTTGCATATTATTTTTATTTTTATATTGTTTTTCGGCTGCCAGTACGCTGCCAGCAACAATTTCCATTGGGGATCATTTGATACGTTTGGGTTTCCTGCACATACGATTTTTCCTAGATACAAGCTTTGTCCAGTATACATTGGCTGTCTCCAACCGGCATCATCCTTTCTGTCTGCTTCCTCTTGCCGGTGCAAGTTTAATTCTTCTTTTCTTGTTCAATTTTTTCGGTGCTTTCCTCCTATTGAACACTTCTGGTCGTGTTCCCTTTTGTCCTCAGGCTAGTTAGTTAATATTAGTACATGATAGGAAGATTTTTTTTTTGAATTATAGTCACTTTAACGCTCTTGGGTCATTCGTGACTTGTCCGGGGGTGAGATTTGAACTCGTGACTTTGGCGTGAGAGGTATGAATGCTAACCACTACGCCGGGGTCGCCCCCTGATAGGAAGAAAGAAATAGAACAAGTTAAGTGTGAGCCGCATGCATTGGTTACTTATGTGGGTCATGGTGTTGTGTTCCCTATTTATTTGCCTCTATTTCGCTCTCAGATCGCAACGTTTAACTCACCCCCTTCCCTCACACTATTATGATCGGAAAAGAGAACTCATATTCAGTAATCTCTCGTGAACTGCGATGCAGAAGATATTAATAGCAAACTAATCTGGAACTGGTCTAAGACATATAACCCAGTGAGTATTGATACATCACAATGTTGTGATGGAGCACGGACGTGAGATTTACTAGAGTATTAAATGCAAAATGCAAATTCAAAATAAAACTTGACCAAACATCGTCAATC